GGACGCACTGGGCCTGGAGCTGACGCAGGTCAAGGTGTTCAACGCGGGCGACGACCCCTCGGTGCCCCTGCATGTGCTGTCGCGGCTCGCCATCAACTCGGACCTGTGCTGCAGCCGCCAGGACCTGGAGTTCACCCTGCAGTGTCTGGTGCCTGACTTCCTGCCGCCCATCGAGGCAGCCGACTTCGGTGAGCGCGTGGGGCGGCAGCTCGTGTGCCTGGAGCGGGTTACCTGCTCGGACCTGGGCATCAGCGGCACCGTGCGCGTGCGCAACGTGGCCTTCGAGAAGCAGGTGGCGGTGCGCTACACCTTTTCCGACTGGCGCAGCACCCACGAGGCTGTGGCCAGGTGGCGGGGCCCCGCGGGTTCTGAGGGCACTGAGGACGTCTTCGCCTTTGGCTTCCCAGTGCCACCCTTCCTGCTGGCGCGAGGCTCCCGCGTGCACTTCGCAGTGCGCTACCGCGTGGCCGGCGCTGAGTACTGGGACAACAACGATGGTCGCGACTACAGCCTCACCTGCCGCAACCACGAGCTGCACATGCCCCGAGGGGAGTGCGAGGAGAGCTGGATCCACTTCATCTGAGCCTCGGGCCAGGGACCTGGCGCTCCTGCTCTCAAGCCAACCTGCGGTCACTTCGTAGCTGGGCGCTCACAGAAGAGGCAGCTGCCCTTCCCTGCCCTCCGTCCCCACACCTAAGTCTGACCTCACGTCCTGCTGCAAGGACCCCTGGCAGTGGCCATCCTGCCATCTACTTGAAACGTCTGTGTCAGCTGTAAAATGTAGCCTCCGGTGGCCAGAGGCCTAGCGTGTACCATGCTGGGGACGTGCGGGTGGGTAGGTGCAGGAGTGCTGGGCTCTCTGAGAGGTTCTGACTGGGTTTCTGGGAAAGGCCTGCATCCTCCCGCTAGGAAGGCCTGATTGCTTTTGCATGTGTCCTGATTGGGTCTCTGTAAACATAGGTGTTATTTATTATTGTGATGCTGGGACCTTTGATCCCTAGTGGTTGCCTTCCCGGGAGCATTCTGGATTTAATAAGCTAAAAGAGAAACCAGTGTGTGTATTTGTGCCCCAGTGTGACCCCCATCATGGTTTCTTGAGGCATTCCTGCCCTGGGGCAAGGAAAACCCGAGCTTGCCAATGTTTGTGGACTTCTCACCGTGGAAAACTATTAATAGGCAAGCAGTGTATGCCTATCAGTCATCACAACTGTTCCTGGGAATCCAGGCTGCCCTGGTGAGGCTGTGTCTCCTACATCACAGCTGAGAACGAGGAAAAGCTTAAAATGTTAGCAGACCAGCCTTAGTGTCTCTTCTCACATCTCGCACTTCTCTTGCACCTATTTGATAATTACGTATCCGCATGTTATCAGGCAATTCTGTTTAGGCTTGAAACTACCTAAACAGGATAAGAAACTCTGCCTTAAGTTATTAAAAATTTCAGGCACAACACCCTTTTCAATTACCTTTTTGATGATCAAGATGACTCTTTGTCTTCTTAAGCGTCAGACGATTCCAGCAGTCATCTTTCAGAAGTGAGGATGCCAAGTGGAATTAGAAAGTTTATTCAGCAATAGCCAGAGCACTGGAGGAAAAATAATTCACAAATATTTATACTTTATAATTGTTTTAAATTGTATTTATATATGCCCAGGTTTTATTTTAAATTATATTTATTTATATGTACCTGGTTTTATCAGCTACCTGCCAACTTAATTCTTTGTGCCTTCAGATCAGAGTTTCTAACATTGTTGGGACTTGTTTCCCAGTTTTAAAATGTTAAATGCTTTTCTTTCCTTCTTTCTTTTTTTTCTTTTCTTTTCTTTTTAAAATATCTCCAACCAAGAAGTCAAGGCCATTGTCCCCTGCAGAGTGCCACAATGACTTACTAGTAAAACTCCCAGCAAGGGGCTGGTGATGTCTTTTGGTGCTGAGTGATGGCTTTCTGACAACAGGTGCTAGCTCTGAAGTGTGAAAACCCAGCCAGGGTAGACAAGGCCTCCAAATTGTGGAGTTTAATTATGACACAGTTGAAACCTCTGAGGTAAATTGTGACAGCTGTCACCAATGAATTAACTCTGAATTTTTTAATGCTTGTTGACATTTGTTAAATCAGTATGTAAAGGGCGAGTTTTGCCTTTTAACCAGTTTGTTTTTTACAATGGCAACTTTTGTGTTTTTAAAATTCCAAGAAGAAAAAGGCTTTCTGATCTAGAGGGAGTACTTTCTGATTTAAGAACACTGAATTTTGATTTAAAATATTGTGATTAAGTTGAATAAGCTTTGGCTACTAGCATTTTTCACTTCATTGACTTGCAAGAGAGAGAGAAGTCTGGTTGCATTTCCTGTTGTTTAACAAACTGTCCAATTAGGTCAGCACGCCTGTAAGGGCCCTGGCTGCTATGTCCTTGGCCCCAACCCAGATTGCAAGAAATTATCCAGAGTATTCATGTACGAAGGTTAGAGCTGCCAAATGTATTGTATAAAAGCATGTAGAGAATCTTATAATCCATGTAAAAGTTACTTGCCAAAAGGTTCTAGTCATGGAGTATAAAGTAAATATTATATCTTCAGTATTAAAAGAACCTCAATGTGCCTTTAAAAAACTTAAATGTACTTGCCTAGTTGATAAAGTTCAGCTTAATGAGAACTTTCAGACCTTAAAACACAGTTATATTGCTTAAATGTTAACATTTTGTAGTGGGTTGTGCAATTGTTGGGTTGTCTCCCCAAATATATTTTAATGTCTATCATTTGAAGTGATTTCACCCAAACCTAAAATTAAATTGTATGTGCACAAATTGTTAGCTGGAATGTGTTTTTCTTGTAGTCTCATTGCAGAAACATGTGTTAGAAACTTCTTGTTTAAAAAATTTCATGGTTAAGTCTTATTCTTACCTAAATAGTCAAACTTAGTGCCTTGCCAAAAAAAAAAATTTTTTTTAATTGTATGCTAGTACCTGTTTCCGTAGCACAGTTGTGCATGTCTTTGAGAAACTGAAATACAATCTTTTGTGCCAAGTCACATATGAAGAAAGCTCTAGGGCAGTGGTTCTCAACCAGTGGTTCTCAACTTACCCCAGAACCCAATTTTGATGATGATTGATAGAAAAGAATTTTCATCTAACACTATAATCTAAAAACCTATTTAACAACAAATAAGATTAAAAAGAGTGATTGCCTTTTTTCTTCCTTGTGGTGGTATACTGATGTTTACCAAACAATTCCTATGCTTTTTGTACAAATGAAGCAATAAAAGGAATCTAACTCTTCTCCTCTGCTACAAAGTGGCAAATTGAGAAATCACTACTTATAATTTTTGAAGTGTCTGCTGTATCCATTTCTGCGTGGCTTGTATATTTTACAAAAGCACGATTGCTTTTATCGTTTAAACTGATACTTTAAATGGGAACATTGTAAAAAGCCTGGAATATACTGATGCTCCTGCTCAGTATCAGGCCCAGAGGGGCGAAGCCTAATTTCCCATAGGGGACTTGGGTTCTGCCTAATGAAGGAGGCAGCCGCTCCTGCTTCGAGGAAACCCAGGCAGGAAACCCTCCGGCAGAACAGGACCGTGCTTGGCAGCCTGGCGGGGCGGGGCGGGGCCGGAGGGGGCGTGGCTGTCCGGAGGAGGGGGCGTGGCTGTCCGGAGGAGGGGGCGTGGCCGGCGGAGAGGGAGCAAGACTGACGCAGACTGAGTCTTGGCCGGAAGCCAGGGCTAGGGCGCCGCAGTGAGGCTTTGACGTCCGCGGGGAGTTGGCCCGTGTAGCTCTGCTGCCCTCTGCCGGCCCGCAGCGTGGGACTCTCCAGAGGGCGTGCAACCCAAGCATTCTCGCAGGTTCGCTGGTCCCCCTCGTCTGTGTGGCCCTGACTAGCCCTCCGGGGTGGTTGTGGGGATGGCAGGGGCCCTTGGAGGAAGAGACGGAAGAGAAGCTGAGGTCTCCTCTGGCTGCGCATACCTGAGGAGCAGCCTTCCGGCGAAGACAGCGCCCGGGAGGGGTCAAGGGTCGGGGTTGGGGTCAGGATCAGGACGCTGCAGTCCACTTACTTGAGGCTCAGAGCC